GCTACGCCTTTGCAAACCCCTACCCCACCAAAAGAATGGGTTTTCGCCAGGGAACGAACTCCTCCGAGGTTCGGAGGGGATCGTCAAGCTCGACAGGATTTTGGGGATCTGCCCATCCTAAAACCCTAATTTTGAGCCCCTCACGAAGGTGCAGAGGGGCATCGTGAACCACTCTTCATCCCTTCGACGGCCCACAAAGGACGTGGCGAACAGGGCCAATGGGTGATGGACGTGTTTGTGTGTGTTTCTCGCACGAGGAACGGAAGGATGTTGGGATGTCAAAAAGATGCCATCCAATTTGAGGGAGAGGCTCTCCCTAGAACCAAGAGTTGACATTTTCTTGTTGAGGCTTTTCCATTCGCGTCGTGAGTTGACATTTTCTGGTCACATGCCGTTTGTTGGCTCATCTTTTGTCATAGCATCGCATGTATGCTCGCGGTTTTAATTGGGCTAGCCGCCAAAGGTGCAGTGAGTAAGTGACACAGTTCTGGTACAGTACTGTAATATTTCACAACTCGCAACCAAGTGTAATATGCTTAATATCGAGTAACCCTGCCTCTTGTCGCCAAACTGCACCTTCGCTAAAGTGGGGAACGTGCAAATTGGCGAGCTACACATGATGCCAGGGTTGAGCCACTCCCTGTTGCCTTGTGAAGGGGGTGCTTAAAGCTTTTGTATACATTCGCAAATACTGTTTAGGGTTGTACTGTAGCCAGGGGAAAATTCGCTAGAACGAAACAACGGAGGTTGGCGAGAGCTTTGGCGAAAAATTGCACCCCTGAATAGTTTTTCGCATGGGAAATTCCCTCGTCACCCAAACCTTGCACTCACTCGCCCACTTCGAAACATGCTAAGCGTCTAATAACGTAAGCTAAGGGCGTATCCCTGGGTGGTGGCAGGACCACTGTAGATGGCAGGCGGTTTTTGCGGATGCCACGAATACCTATAACGGCAGGTTGGTGGCAGAAAACTGTCGCACATAGGCAACAAGGCGATTGGTTGAACGAACCTATCGCCTGGTTGGGTTGGGTCACACGGTCCAATCACCACATCTCATATCCAAATCTCCCTCGCAAACTGGGCTCGCACACACCACGTTCGAGCTCTCACATGCCGGTAAAATTCCCGGCCCACCAACTGCTGTCATTGGTCGGGACAGGAACGTGCATAACCCCTCCCCGAAGGGTCACCCAACTGCATTACAGTTTGCCAATATTGCATTTCTCTCAACCACTTCATGCCTGCCAATTTACAGGCCTTTCGTGAGCATCAAGTTTAGCTGTTGCCGATGCCAGGTGTCGAAGAACCCAGATTGTAGTAACCGGTTGGACATTTGGAGTGGTATCGCACGCTTGTTGTGATTGGTTGGTTCTTTCCGTGTGCGACTGTCGCACATTTTGTTGTGGTTGCCACGAACTGCGAGCCGCGGGCGGTTCGGGCACAATGTTGATGGCATGCGGTTTTCCCGCATGCCACCAACAGTGACTGCTACAGTTGCCCTGCCACCACCCAGGGATACGCCCTAAGCATAGATAGAGGAACCGGGGTGCGTAGAATAATATCCAGAGCATCAAAACCGCCCATATAGTCATAGATGAGATGTGTTTAGGTACATTATAGGCTTGTACCTGCGGAAAAATAACATCTAGCTTGCCTGCCACCTCCTTTCTGCTGCAGCGCCGTTCAACAATCCGAGTCGAAAGACGGAAAGGCTCTGCATTCATCCAGCGCGTCTTGTTCGGCAGTGTGGTCTGGCCCGTCGAAGCCCTGTCAAGGGCGCCTCGACGGGTTGCATCACCATGCAGTGATTGATAATTTAGGCGTCGACGAGGGGATCGCATATTGCGCCGTGGGCCCCGCCGCCACTCTCAACACCCGCTCGGTAGGCGTTTCCCCTAAGCGCCTCACCCACTGTGCGGGTCTCCCGCTTAGCGCTTTTAACGCGAAGAGCCTCTCCCGCTTAGCGCCTCACCCTCTGCGCGCCATGCCCCGCAGCGTATCACTCGCTGCGCGCATTTTCCGCTTAGCGCCTGACCCGCTGCGCGCCTTCCCGCGTAGCGCATCCTCTTCTAATCACCCCTCCCTCGCCCCCTTTATCCCCCATGCTCCCCCTCACTACCCCGCCTACTCCCCCTCCTTTTGCCTCCCTTCTCTCCCTTATTCCCCCCCCTTCTCCCCTCTCTTTCCCTCCTTATCCCCCTCATTATCCATCCTTTTCCCTCTCATTTCGCCTCCTGCTCACACACATTACCCCCCATTCTCGCCTTAAGTCGTTCCCCTTAAACCCTCTCATTACCCTCTCTCCTCCTCCTCATGTTGCTCCCCGTCCACCCTCTCATCGCCCCCCCTCCTCCCCCTCATTTACCCCCCCTTCTCCCCCTCATTCCCCCCCCACCCCATATCCACCCTTCTTTGCCTCATTATCCCCCTTCTTCTCCTCCTTTTGCCCCTCTTCTACTTCTCATTTCCCCCCATTCTCCCTCTCATTACCCCCCCTTGTCCCTCTCATTTCACCCCTTTATCCCCCTCCTTTATGTACCCTTTTTTTCCTATCAAACCCGACCCTTCTGGCTCACAAATCCCCCTTTTCTCCCTGTCATCCTCCCCCTTCCTTCTCCCTGTCAATACCCGCGACTCCCTCTCAAAACCCCCTTGCTCCCTCTCAGCCCGCCCCCTTCTCGCCCTCATTCCCCCCCCTTCTCCCTAACATTTCCCCCCTTGCTCAAAACAACTCCCCCCCTTCTCCCTCTCATTTCCCCCTTGCTCACGATTGAATTCCCCCTTCTCTCTCTCAATTTCCCCCACCTCCCTCTTATTTTCCCCCTTCACCCCTGCGTTTCCCCCCATTCTCCCTCTCACTACCCCTTGTTAGAATTCCAACCACTAGACCATTGGGATAAAAGGGCTTGTTTCAAAAGCGGGTCAGTGCGCCCATGACCCCCCAGGCTAACATGACTGTAACCCCCCAAGGATCAATCGGAGATTTCACAGTGCAGCTCTACTGACACCCCCCCCCCCCACCCCCCCCCCCCCCTTGTCCATCCCAATTCACCCCCTTCTGTCCCTCCTTTATCTACCCTTATGTTTCTCTAAAATACCCCTTTTATCCCTCTCAGTCTCCCTCATTCTCCATCTCATTCCCCCCCGTCGCTCCCTATCAAACGCCCCCCCCCCCCCTGTCACCACCGTTTCCCCCCCTTGCTCCCACTCATTTTGCCACCTTCTTCCCCACATGTCCCCACTTCTCCCTCTCACTTCCCCCCCATTTCCCTCTCATTTCCCCACCTTGCCCCCGTCATTTCCAACCTTGCTCCCTCTCAGCCCCCCCCCTTCTCGCCCTCATTTCCCCCTACTCCCTCTCATTAACCCGCTCCCATTCATTTCCCCCCCTGCTCCTTAACACTTCCCCCACTTCTCCCCCTCATTACCACCCTTGCCGCCTCTCACTTCCACCCATGCTCACACTCATTTCCCCCCTTGCTCCCTCTCATTTCCCCCCTTATCACCCTCGTTTCCACCCTTCTCCCTTCCTAATCCCCCCTTGCTCCCCGTCATTTCCCCCCATGCTTCTTCTCACTTCCATTCGTGCTCCCCCTCAATTCCACCCTTGCCGCCTCTTGCTATCCCCTTGCCATCCCAAATATATTCCCTTTACAACACGCTAAGAAATACCCACTGCTATCTAGTGCGCAAGCTTAGGGTTTGTACACAGGTGAGACTCCGTCAAACTTCCCTTCCCTGCCTTGCTATCCCCCCAACCCTGCCCTTCGTCGACCGCCATGCCCTTTCCCTACTGCCCTTCCCCTCCCTGCTATTGCCTTCCCTCACTACACATGTCTCCCTGTACCTTAGTTCACCCACTGCACTCTTGTCCACCCCATCTTCCCTCCCTTGCAGGGGCCCATTTTACAATAGAAAATATGACAGCAGGGTGTAATTAGCCCCCATTTCCCATCATTACTATGGGGGTCTCTACTCCAATCCCTTCTTCCTCATACCTCCGCATCTCATTGTCTTCTCACCTCACATGCCATCACATCTACATGTTATGGTTGGAGTCCTCCATGCCCTTCCATTTCATTTGCCCTCCCTTCCTATCCCTTATTTGTAGGATGCCGCATTGACATGGTCGAAGGGACCGCGCATGATTACCTACCCGCCGTGACAAGATCTCTATCCTCCTCCTACTCGTATTGCCCATTCCATCTCCGCCGCACCAATGCGCTACCCCTGCTTTCCCCCTCCATTCCTTCTGCTGTCCATACAGCACAGGACTCGTATCGAAGAGTGCAATTCATGGGGCATCCAAAAAAATTGTCTGTGGAGACATGGACAAAGAGGGTAAAGGAATTGGTGAAGGCTAAGGAACAGGGAAATCTGTCGATATCAAAGCACATGCAAATTCCTATTTGCTACTGGCGATGTGGCTTAAGCGCTTTGTACCGTGGTCATCAATCTCTCAACTGCATACTACCATGTAGAACCGTTATGAAAATTCAAACTTTGGGAAGCTTGAAAGAAAATCACACACGCCCTTATGAACCGCATGGCAGAATCAAACCTTTACTGATTCCACTACATCCAACCACATGTACAGTACAGTTTTGCGCCACTAAACACTTCATAACCCAGCTACATTTACTTAAGAGCGTGACACCTCGTATCAGACACATCGTATCAGCTTCACGTGGTGAAATGCGTTTCAGTGTGTTCGACTGAGGTTGGATGCGTTTTAGTGCGGTTCGACGCAAACCTGATAAGAGGTTGCTTGATATGAGGCCGTAGAAACATGCTCTAAGAATAATTCTCTCTATGACCAGGAAACTGCGCGAGGAAGCTTGGCTCTACAATTCAGATCCTGAAAAGCTTGGCTCGATCCACAAGCCCACTCCTTCAATCCAGCCACATTATCCTTTGTCTCTGCATGCACCCAGTCACCTAAGCCCTCGTTATTACCATTTGATGCAAACGTTCTGGATGCTGCGCTGCTCAGGTTACTCTTAGCCTGCAGAAGGGTTGGAAGGGGGAAGGATGTGGGGGAACCGGCAGGGGGGGGGGGGGGGGGGGTGGGGAATTAAAAGGAAGACAGGGGGAGGAGGGGGGGGGAGAAGGGAGAGGGGAGAGGTGAGGGGCAAAGCGGGAACTATCAGCTGTTTAACATGATGAACCAGATCAAATGGATTTGAAATGGGACAGTCGAGTTATGGTAAGTGTGGCAACGCAACGTGAGGCGATCTTACCTCTCGCCTTGAATGCTCGCATTTTATAGCCTGCACAGTGCGCCATACAACGGGAGCACAACAGGCGATTAGTGGGTTACTATTACAAGGCTTCACCCAAGAAGCACTAACCAGCACTAACTAACCCAGTAACCAACCAGCACTCGACTGGGCAGGGCAGGCACGTGTGATAACAGAAAGTAGCAACAGAGCAGATTACATGACCAATTTCTCAGCCAGCACAGCACAGCACAGATGAGACAAGACGAGGAGGTAACGAACAAGACTCGCGAGACCAATGGGAGAACAAGTAAAAACGGGAGAAACGGGAGGTAAGATGTGGTTTAACGGGTGGGAGCACTGGATGAGAGAGAAGAGAAGGCAGGTAGAAAGGTAGGTAGATACCTCCTTGAGGCGGCTGTTGTCTTGCCTGAGCCTCACTATCTCAGCTTCTAGCTCCACTGTGTACGCCTGATGGGAGAGAATGGGGGGGGGGGGGGACAGAGGGGGAGGGAAGGAAGGGGGTTGGCGGTGAGAACACAGGCACTTTTCTGAGCCTCACTATCTCAGCTTCTAGCTCCACTGTGTACGCCTGATGGGATGGGAGTGAGGGAGGGGAAAAAGAGAGAGAGAGAGAGAGAGAGAGAGAGAGAGAGAGAGAGAGAGAGAGAGAGAGAGAGAGAGAGAGAGAGAGAGACGTATGTCTACTCACTGGTTGAAAACCTAAAGGCGGATGTCACCATCCGTCATCCACTGACCGGGGAGGTTTGGATGTGCGACGTGACCGTGACGGACCCGATGAGCGGGCACACTCAGCGCATGCTCTCACTCTCAGGGTATGGGGCAGGAGACTGGCTCAATGCAGTCCCCTTCAACTCGACACTACGGCTTGCCCCTGCTCACTTTGCGCATGCGCTGCAATTCCGGATGGGGCTACCCTCCTCAGCTCCAGGCGCGTGTGACTGCCGCAAGGAGACAGCGATCCCAGACAGGCGGCTGCCCAACCACCTGCTGCGCTGTGACACAGGGAAGGGGCGGACCAACACACACAATGAACTGCGCGATGCGTGTCTGCACATGGCCGCCGACGCTGATTTCATGACTGACAGTGAGACGACCACGTTCTGCCCCGTCACCCTTAAGAAAGCAGACATAGCGATCCGGGACAAGTCCTCAGGGGCGGTGTGGATAGGGGACGTGACCATCACGGACCCCATTAGCACACGGGATCCCAACGCGGTTAAGGGCAGGGGGTGGGCGGCCAGAGAGGCGGCAGAGAAAAAGATCTCCGACTACGAGGGCTCAACGGCCTCGTGGGTCGGATTCTTCCCTCTCGCCGTTGATACCTACGGCTGCCCCTGCGCGGAGGTCCCTCAATTCCTCAAACTTCTGGCCGACACCGGCGCGCGCAGGCTCTTCAACGCGGCCCCCTCATCTTACCAAGCAACAAAGCTGCTGCATCAGTTCCGCCAGCGGTGGTCCGTGGCGCTGCAGCGGGCGCAGTCGGTGAGCTTCATGACGAAGTGCAACTATGCGGCTCAGGTAGAGAACCCACCTGTGGCGCTGCCGGGCGAAGGCATGTCCCTCGGGGACTGCCTTGCCATCCTGGAGCCTGCACTGGAGCTGCCTTACAGGGTGAACGAGAGTAGGTAGGATATGGGGGTTATAGAGGCTGAGGTGCATTGCTCCTTATAACCTTGTGCATGTCTGTACCGTGCTCGGATCTAATACACGGACCGCTTGAGAGAGAGAGAGAGAGAGAGAGAGAGAGAGAGAGAGAGAGAGAGAGAGAGAGAGAGAGAGAGAAAGAGAGAGAGAGAGAGAGAGAGAGAGAGAGAGAGAGAGAGAGAGAGAGAGAGGGAGGGGAGGGGAAGAGGGGTGAGTTGATGGGCTTATGGGATTGAGGTTATCGTGGATAGAACTGCATGTCTGTACCCCTGCTGAATTATTACAACGGACCATTTGAGAGAGAGCGAGAGAGGCTTGTGTTTGCATCTTCCTTTGCAACACCCCCCTGATCAATGCAAGGACCGTTCGAGAAGGGAGAGAGGAAGACAGGGAGAGAGGGAGAGAGAAGGGGGAGTGGGGGGGAAAGGAGGGGGAACATAGAACACTTGTGTGGGTCGTACTGTCGTACAATATCCGCTGCTTCTAGCTCCAATGTGTATGACTGATGGGAGAGAGGGTGGGGGGAATGCAGACACGCCACGTGATAAAAAAGATGTTTTGAGACGTCTCAAAACAATGTGTATGCCTGATGGGAGAGAGGGTGGAGGGAATACAGACACACATAAACAGAAATACGGCTCAACACGTGGTGACTAGATCGAGAAACTCACAAGGGTAAGCAATCTCACTCGTACCTGCTTTCTCACTCGTACCTGCTTTCTCACTCGTACCTGCTTTCTCACTCGTACTTGCTTTCTCACTCGTACTTGCTTTCTCACTCGTACCTGCTTTCCCACTCGTACCTGCTTTCCCACTCTTACTTGCTTTCTCACTCTTACTTGCTTTCTCACTCGTACCTGCTTTCTCACTCGTACCTGCTTTCTCACTCGTACCTGCTTTCTCACTCGTACCTGCTTTCTCACTCGTACCTGCTTTCTCGCTCGTACCTGCTTTCTCGCTCGTACCTGCTTTCTCGCTCGTACCTGCTTTCTCGCTCGTACCTGCTTTCTCGCTCGTACCTGCTTTCTCGCTCGAACCTGCTTCCTCGCTCGAACCTGCTTCCTCGCTCGAACCTGCTTCCTCGCTCGTACCTGCTTCCTCGCTCGTACCTGCTTCCTCGCTCGTACCTGCTTCCTCGCTCGTACCTGCTTCCTCGCTCGTACCTGCTTCCTCGCTCGTACCTGCTTCCTCGCTCGTACCTGCTTCCTCGCTCGTACCTGCTTCCTCGCTCGTACCTGCTTCCTCGCTCCTACCTGCTTCCTCGCTCCTACCTGCTTCCTCGCTCCTACCTGCTTCCTCGCTCCTACCTGCTTCCTCGCTCCTACCTGCTTCCTCGCTCCTACCTGCTTCCTCGCTCGTACCTGCTTCCTCGCTCGTACCTGCTTCCTCGCTCGTACCTGCTTCCTCGCTCGTACCTGCTTCCTCGCTCCTACCTGCTTCCTCGCTCGTACCTGCTTCCTCGCTCGTACCTGCTTCCTCGCTCGTACCTGCTTCCTCGCTCGTACCTGCTTCCTCGCTCGTACCTGCTTCCTCGCTCGTACGTGCTTCCTCGCTCGTACGTGCTTCCTCGCTCGTACGTGCTTCGTCGCTCGTACCTGCTTCCTCGCTCGTACCTGCTTCCTCGCTCCTACCTGCTTCCTCGCTCCTACCTGCTTCCTCGCTCCTACCTGCTTCCTCGCTCCTACCTGCTTTCCTCGCTCGTACCTGCTTTCTCGCTCGTACCTGCTTTCTCGCTCGTACGTGCTTTCTCGCTCGGACCTGCTTTCTCGCTCGTACCTGCTTTCTCGCTCGAACCTGCTTCCTCGCTCGTACCTGCTTCCTCGCTCGTACCTGCTTCCTCGCTCGTACCTGCTTCCTCGCTCGTACCTGCTTTCTCGCTCGTACCTGCTTCCTCGCTCGTACCTGCTTCCTCGCTCGTACCTGCTTCCTCGCTCGTACCTGCTTCCTCGCTCCTACCTGCTTCCTCGCTCGTACCTGCTTCCTCGCTCGTACGTGCTTCCTCGCTCGTACGTGCTTCCTCGCTCCTACCTGCTTCCTCGCTCGTACCTGCTTCCTCGCTCGTACCTGCTTCCTCGCTCGTACCTGCTTCCTCGCTCCTACCTGCTTCCTCGCTCCTACCTGCTTCCTCGCTCCTACCTGCTTCCTCGCTCCTACCTGCTTCCTCGCTCCTACCTGCTTCCTCGCTCCTACCTGCTTCCTCGCTCCTACCTGCTTCCTCGCTCGTACCTGCTTCCTCGCTCGTACCTGCTTCCTCGCTCGTACCTGCTTCCTCGCTCCTACCTGCTTCCTCGCTCGTACCTGTTTCCTCGCTCGTACCTGCTTCCTCGCTCGTACCTGCTTCCTCGCTCGTACCTGCTTCCTCGCTCGTACCTGCTTCCTCGCTCGTACGTGCTTCCTCGCTCGTACGTGCTTCCTCGCTCGTACCTGCTTCGTCGCTCGTACCTGCTTCCTCGCTCGTACCTGCTTCCTCGCTCCTACCTGCTTCCTCGCTCCTACCTGCTTCCTCGCTCCTACCTGCTTCCTCGCTCCTACCTGCTTTCCTCGCTCGTACCTGCTTTCTCGCTCGTACGTGCTTTCTCGCTCGGACCTGCTTTCTCGCTCGTACCTGCTTTCTCGCTCGAACCTGCTTCCTCGCTCGAACCTGCTTCCTCGCTCGTACCTGCTTCCTCGCTCGTACCTGCTTCCTCGCTCGTACCTGCTTCCTCGCTCGTACCTGCTTCCTCGCTCCTACCTGCTTCCTCGCTCGTACCTGCTTCCTCGCTCGTACCTGCTTCCTCGCTCGTACCTGCTTCCTCGCTCCTACCTGCTTCCTCGCTCCTACCTGCTTCCTCGCTCCTACCTGCTTCCTCGCTCCTACCTGCTTCCTCGCTCCTACCTGCTTCCTCGCTCCTACCTGCTTCCTCGCTCCTACCTGCTTCCTCGCTCGTACCTGCTTCCTCGCTCGTACCTGCTTCCTCGCTCGTACCTGCTTCCTCGCTCGTACCTGCTTCCTCGCTCGTACCTGCTTCCTCGCTCGTACCTGCTTCCTCGCTCGTACCTGCTTCCTCGCTCGTACCTGCTTCCTCGCTCGTACCTGCTTCCTCGCTCCTACCTGCTTCCTCGCTCCTACCTGCTTCCTCGCTCGTACCTGCTTCCTCGCTCGTACCTGCTTCCTCGCTCGTACCTGCTTCCTCGCTCGTACCTGCTTCCTCGCTCGTACCTGCTTCCTCGCTCGTACCTGCTTCCTCGCTCGTACCTGCTTCCTCGCTCGTACCTGCTTCCTCGCTCGTACCTGCTTCCTCGCTCCTACCTGCTTCCTCGCTCCTACCTGCTTCCTCGCTCGTACCTGCTTCCTCGCTCGTACCTGCTTCCTCGCTCGTACCTGCTTCCTCGCTCGTACCTGCTTCCTCGCTCGTACCTGCTTCCTCGCTCGTACCTGCTTCCTCGCTCGTACCTGCTTCCTCGCTCGTACCTGCTTCCTCGCTCGTACCTGCTTCCTCGCTCGTACCTGCTTCCTCGCTCGTACCTGCTTCCTCGCTCGTACCTGCTTCCTCGCTCGTACCTGCTTCCTCGCTCGTACCTGCTTCCTCGCTCGTACCTGCTTCCTCGCTCGTACCTGCTTCCTCGCTCGTACCTGCTTCCTCGCTCGTACCTGCTTCCTCGCTCCTACCTGCTTCCTCGCTCGTACCTGCTTCCTCGCTCGTACCTGCTTCCTCGCTCGTACCTGCTTCCTCGCTCGTACCTGCTTCCTCGCTCCTACCTGCTTCCTCGCTCCTACCTGCTTTCTCGCTCGTACCTGCTTTCTCGCTCGTACCTGCTTTCTCGCTCGTACCTGCTTTCTCGCTCGTACCTGCTTTCTCGCTCGAACCTGCTTCCTCGCTCGAACCTGCTTCCTCGCTGGAACCTGCTTCCTCGCTCGTACCTGCTTCCTCGCTCGTACCCGCTTCCTCGCTCGTACCTGCTTCCTCGCTCGTACCTGCTTCCTCGCTCGTACCTGCTTCCTCGCTCGTACCTGCTTCCTCGCTCCTACCTGCTTACTCGCTCCTACCTGCTTCCTCGCTCCTACCTGCTTCCTCGCTCCTACCTGCTTCCTCGCTCCTACCTGCTTCCTCGCTCGTACCTGCTTCCTCGCTCGTACCTGCTTCCTCGCTCCTACCTGCTTCCTCGCTCCTACCTGCTTCCTCGCTCCTACCTGCTTCCTCGCTCCTACCTGCTTCCTCGCTCCTACCTGCTTCCTCGCTCCTACCTGCTTCCTCGCTCGTACCTGCTTCCTCGCTCGTACCTGCTTCCTCGCTCGTACCTGCTTCCTCGCGCGTACCTGCTTCCTCGCGCGTACCTGCTTCCTCGCTCGTACCTGCTTCCTCGCTCGTACCTGCTTCCTCGCTCGTACCTGCTTCCTCGCTCGTACCTGCTTCCTCGCTCGTACCTGCTTCCTCGCTCGTACCTGCTTCCTCGCTCGTACCTGCTTCCTCGCTCGTACCTGCTTCCTCGCTCCTACCTGCTTCCTCGCTCCTACCTGCTTTCTCGCTCGTACCTGCTTTCTCGCTCGTACCTGCTTTCTCGCTCGTACCTGCTTTCTCGCTCGTACCTGCTTTCTCGCTCGAACCTGCTTCCTCGCTCGAACCTGCTTCCTCGCTGGAACCTGCTTCCTCGCTCGTACCTGCTTCCTCGCTCGTACCCGCTTCCTCGCTCGTACCTGCTTCCTCGCTCGTACCTGCTTCCTCGCTCGTACCTGCTTCCTCGCTCGTACCTGCTTCCTCGCTCCTACCTGCTTACTCGCTCCTACCTGCTTCCTCGCTCCTACCTGCTTCCTCGCTCCTACCTGCTTCCTCGCTCGTACCTGCTTCCTCGCTCGTACCTGCTTCCTCGCTCGTACCTGCTTCCTCGCTCGTACCTGCTTCCTCGCTCCTACCTGCTTCCTCGCTCCTACCTGCTTCCTCGCTCCTACCTGCTTCCTCGCTCCTACCTGCTTCCTCGCTCGTACCTGCTTCCTCGCTCGTACCTGCTTCCTCGCTCGTACCTGCTTCCTCGCGCGTACCTGCTTCCTCGCGCGTACCTGCTTCCTCGCTCGTACCTGCTTCCTCGCTCGTACCTGCTTCCTCGCTCGTACCTGCTTCCTCGCTCGTACCTGCTTCCTCGCTCGTACCTGCTTCCTCGCTCGTACCTGCTTCCTCGCTCGTACCTGCTTCCTCGCTCGTACCTGCTTCCTCGCTCGTACCTGCTTCCTCGCTCGTACCTGCTTCCTCGCTCGTACCTGCTTCTCGTACCTGCTTCCTCGCTCGTACCTGCTTCCTCGCTCGTACCTGCTTCCTCGCTCGTACCTGCTTCCTCGCTCGTACCTGCTTCCTCGCTCGTACCTGCTTCCTCGCTCGTACCTGCTTCCTCGCTCGTACCTGCTTCCTCGCTCGTACCTGCTTCCTCGCTCGTACCTGCTTCCTCGCTCGTACCTGCTTCCTCGCTCCTACCTGCTTCCTCGCTCGTACCTGCTTCCTCGCTCGTACCTGCTTCCTCGCTCGTACCTGCTTCCTCGCTCGTACCTGCTTCCTCGCTCGTACCTGCTTCCTCGCTCGTACCTGCTTCCTCGCTCCTACGTGCTTCCTCGCTCCTACCTGCTTCCTCGCTCCTACCTGCTTCCTCGCTCCTACCTGCTTCCTCGCTCCTACCTGCTTCCTCGCTCCTACCTGCTTCCTCGCTCCTACCTGCTTCCTCGCTCCTACCTGCTTCCTCGCTCCTACCTGCTTCCTCGCTCCTACCTCGCTCGTACCTGCTTCCTCGCTCGTACCTGCTTCCTCGCTCGTACCTGCTTCCTCGCTCGTACCTGCTTCCTCGCTCGTACCTGCTTCCTCGCTCGTACCTGCTTCCTCGCTCCTACCTGCTTCCTCGCTCCTACCTGCTTCCTCGCTCCTACCTGCTTCCTCGCTCCTACCTGCTTCCTCGCTCCTACCTGCTTCCTCGCTCCTACCTGCTTCCTCGCTCCTACCTGCTTCCTCGCTCCTACCTGCTTCCTCGCTCGTACCTGCTTCTTCGCTCGTACCTGCTTCCTCGCTCGTCCCTGCTTCCTCGCTCGTACCTGCTTCCTCACTCCTACCTGCTTCCTCGCTCGTACCTGCTTCCTCGCTCGAACCTGCTTCCTCGCTCGAACCTGCTTCCTCGCTCGTACCTGCTTCCTCGCTCGTACCTGCTTCCTCGCTCGTACCTGCTTCCTCGCTCGTACCTGCTTCCTCGCTCCTACCTGCTTACTCGCTCCTACCTGCTTCCTCGCTCCTACCTGCTTCCTCGCTCCTACCTGCTTCCTCGCTCGTACCTGCTTCCTCGCTCGTACCTGCTTCCTCGCTCGTACCTGCGTCCTCGCTCGTACCTGCTTCCTCGCTCGTACCTGCTTCCTCGCTCCTACCTGCTTCCTCGCTCCTACCTGCTTCCTCGCTCCTACCTGCTTCCTCGCTCCTACCTGCTTCCTCGCTCGTACCTGCTTCCTCGCTCGTACCTGCTTCCTCGCTCGTACCTGCTTCCTCGCGCGTACCTGCTTCCTCGCGCGTACCTGCTTCCTCGCTCGTACCTGCTTCCTCGCTCCTACCTGCTTCCTCGCTCGTACCTGCTTCCTCGCTCGTACCTGCTTCCTCGCTCGTACCTGCTTCCTCGCTCGTACCTGCTTCCTCGCTCGTACCTGCTTCCTCGCTCGTACCTGCTTCCTCGCTCGTACCTGCTTCCTCGCTCGTACCTGCTTCCTCGCTCGTACCTGCTTCCACGCTGGTACCTGCTTCCTCGCTCGTACCTGCTTCCTCGCTCGTACCTGCTTCCTCGCTCGTACCTGCTTCCTCGCTCGTACCTGCTTCCTCGCTCGTACCTGCTTCCTCGCTCGTACCTGCTTCCTTGCTCGTACCTGCTTCCTCGCTCGTACCTGCTTCCTCGCTCGTACCTGCTTCCTCGCTCGTACCTGCTTCCTCGCTCCTACCTGCTTCCTCGCTCGTACCTGCTTCCTCGCTCGTACCTGCTTCCTCGCTCGTACCTGCTTCCTCGCTCGTACCTGCTTCCTCGCTCGTACCTGCTTCCTCGCTCGTACCTGCTTCCTCGCTCCTACCTGCTTCCTCGCTCCTACCTGCTTCCTCGCTCCTACCTGCTTCCTCGCTCCTACCTGCTTCCTCGCTCCTACCTGCTTCCTCGCTCCTACCTGCTTCCTCGCTCCTACCTGCTTCCTCGCTCCTACCTGCTTCCTCGCTCCTACCTGCTTCCTCGCTCCTACCTGCTTCCTCGCTCGTACCTGCTTCCTCGCTCGTACCTGCTTCCTCGCTCGTACCTGCTTCCTCGCTCGTACCTGCTTCCTCGCTCCTACCTGCTTCCTCGCTCCTACCTGCTTCCTCGCTCCTACCTGCTTCCTCGCTCCTACCTGCTTCCTCGCTCCTACCTGCTTCCTCGCTCCTACCTGCTTCCTCGCTCCTACCTGCTTCCTCGCTCCTACCTGCTTCCTCGCTCCTACCTGCTTCCTCGCTCGTACCTGCTTCTTCGCTCGTACCTGCTTCCTCGCTCGTCCCTGCTTCCTCGCTCGTACCTGCTTCCTCGCTCCTACCTGCTTCCTCGCTCGTACCTGCTTCCTCGCTCGAACCTGCTTCCTCGCTCGAACCTGCTTCCTCGCTCGTACCTGCTTCCTCGCTCGTACCTGCTTCCTCGCTCGTACCTGCTTCCTCGCTCGTACCTGCTTCCTCGCTCGTACCTGCTTCCTCGCTCGTACCTGCTTCCTCGCTCCTACCTGCTTCCTCGCTCGTACCTGCTTCCTCGCTCGTACCTGCTTCCTCGCTCGTACCTGCTTCCTCGCTCGTACCTGCTTCCTCGCTCCTACCTGCTTCCTCGCTCCTACCTGCTTTCTCGCTCGTACCTGCTTTCTCGCTCGTACCTGCTTTCTCGCTCGTACCTGCTTTCTCGCTCGTACCTGCTTTCTCGCTCGAACCTGCTTCCTCGCTCGAACCTGCTTCCTCGCTGGAACCTGCTTCCTCGCTCGTACCTGCTTCCTCGCTCGTACCCGCTTCCTCGCTCGTACCTGCTTCCTCGCTCGTACCTGCTTCCTCGCTCGTACCTGCTTCCTCGCTCGTACCTGCTTCCTCGCTCCTACCTGCTTACTCGCTCCTACCTGCTTCCTCGCTCCTACCTGCTTCCTCGCTCCTACCTGCTTCCTCGCTCGTACCTGCTTCCTCGCTCGTACCTGCTTCCTCGCTCGTACCTGCTTTCTCGCTCGTACCTGCTTCCTCGCTCCTACCTGCTTCCTCGCTCCTACCTGCTTCCTCGCTCCTACCTGCTTCCTCGCTCCTACCTGCTTCCTCGCTCCTACCTGCTTCCTCGCTCGTACCTGCTTCCTCGCTCGTACCTGCTTCCTCGCTCGTACCTGCTTCCTCGCGCGTACCTGCTTCCTCGCGCGTACCTGCTTCCTCGCTCGTACCTGCTTCCTCGCTCGTACCTGCTTCCTCGCTCGTACCTGCTTCCTCGCTCGTACCTGCTTCCTCGCTCGTACCTGCTTCCTCGCTCGTACCTGCTTCCTCGCTCGTACCTGCTTCCTCGCTCGTACCTGCTTCCTCGCTCGTACCTGCTTCCTCGCTCGTACCTGCTTCCTCGCTCGTACCTGCTTCCACGCTCGTACCTGCTTCCTCGCTCGTACCTGCTTCCTCGCTCGTACCTGCTTCCTCGCTCGTACCTGCTTCCTCGCTCCTACCTGCTTCCTCGCTCCTACCTGCTTCCTCGCTCGTACCTGCTTCCTCGCTCGTACCTGCTTCCTCGCTCGTACCTGCTTCCTCGCTCGTACCTGCTTCCTCGCTCGTACCTGCTTCCTCGCTCGTACCTGCTTCCTCGCTCGTACCTGCTTCCTCGCTCGTACCTGCTTCCTCGCTCGTACCTGCTTCCTCGCTCGTACCTGCTTCCTCGCTCGTACCTGCTTCCTCGCTCCTACCTGCTTCCTCGCTCGTACCTGCTTCCTCGCTCATACCTGCTTCCTCGCTCGTACCTGCTTCCTCGCTCGTACCTGCTTCCTCGCTCGTACCTGCTTCCTCGCTCGTACCTGCTTCCTCGCTCCTACCTGCTTCCTGGCTCCTACCTGCTTCCTCGCTCCTACCTGCTTCCTCGCTCCTACCTGCTTCCTCGCTCCTACCTGCTTCCTCGCTCCTACCTGCTTCCTCGCTCCTACCTGCTTCCTCGCTCCTACCTGCTTCCTCGCTCCTACCTGCTTCCTCGCTCCTACCTGCTTCCTCGCTCGTACCTGCTTCCTCGCTCGTACCTGCTTCCTCGCTCGTACCTGCTTCCTCGCTCGTACCTGCTTCCTCGCTCGTACCTGCTTCCTCGCTCGTACCTGCTTCCTCGCTCCTACCTGCTTCCTCGCTCCTACCTGCTTCCTCGCTCCTACCTGCTTCCTCGCTCCTACCTGCTTCCTCGCTCCTACCTGCTTCCTCGCTCCTACCTGCTTCCTCGCTCCTACCTGCTTCCTCGCTCCTACCTGCTTCCTCGCTCGTACCTGCTTCTTCGCTCGTACCTGCTTCCTCGCTCGTCCCTGCTTCCTCGCTCGTACCTGCTTCCTCGCTCCTACCTGCTTCCTCGCTCGTACCTGCTTCCTCGCTCGAACCTGCTTCCTCGCTCGAACCTGCTTCCTCGCTCGTACCTGCTTCCTCGCTCGTACCTGCTTCCTCGCTCGTACCTGCTTCCTCGCTCGTACCTGCTTCCTCGCTCGTACCTGCTTCCTCGCTCGTACCTGCTTCCTCGCTCCTACCTGCTTCCTCGCTCGTACCTGCTTCCTCGCTCGTACCTGCTTCCTCGCTCGTACCTGCTTCCTCGCTCGTACCTGCTTCCTCGCTCGTACCTGCTTCCTCGCTCGTACCTGCTTCCTCGCTCGTACCTGCTTCCTCGCTCGTACCTGCTTCCTCGCTCGTACCTGCTTCCTCGCTCGTACCTGCTTCCTCGCTCGTACCTGCTTCCTCGCTCGTACCTGCTTCCTCGCTCGTACCTGCTTCCTCGCTCGTACCTGCTTCCTCGCTCGGGATCTAGCAGCAGACTCCCGGTTCTTAATCATCCTCTGCTGCCGCCTCTCCACAACATCCCCTCCCGCCCCTCTCGCCCCTCCCAACACTCCTGCTCCTCCCACTCCTCCTACCAATTCCGCCCCTCCCGTCCTTTCCCCATCCCATATCGCTCCACCTGCACTCTCCATTGCCCCCATCCCCATTCCCCCCTGCACAGCCAACCCGCCCTCTTCCTCCATCTGCTCCCACGTCCTCTTCATCCCCCCCCTCACTCCCACGCCTTCCCCACTCACACCTCCTCCTCTTAACCCTTCTCCTACTCCTCTCCGTCTGCCCGCCCTCCTCTCCCACGTATGATAATCCCAACCCCCCTCTTCCTCCTTCCCTCCAGCAGCAGCAGCAGCAGCGGTGGAAGAGAAGAGACCCACGTGTCCCCCGTTCGAAGGGGAGTGGGTGGAAAGAGGAAATGGCAAGTGCTGATGCATGTGCTTCTGCTGTGGCTGCGGCTGTTGCTGCTGCTGCGACTGGTGGTAGTAGTGCGAGCGGTGGTGCTGCAGGGGTAGTGGTGCTGCGGTTGAGAGGAAATCAGGCAGGAGAGATGTGGCAGTGGGGCATGCTACCGACTCCCTTTCTGCCAAACCTGCCAGACCCGCCAGACCTGCCGGGCGTGCCGAACCTGCCTGGCTCGGTGCTTGCAGACTCGGTGCATGGAGGGGCGCAGGTGAAGCTGGTTTCGAAGACAGAGGGGCGGAGTCTGGGAGACCAGATAGAGGTGGCAAGTGGGCGACTATTGGGGGGACATGGGTAATAGGGGATATCAGTGGGTGCGCTGTCGTGGCAGAATGGGTGGGTGGGGTTGCTGGTGGTATGCTGGCAGTGGAAGGTAGATACAAGGCGGAGGGAACAGTTGGCGTGAAAGGGCTGATGTTTTTGGGGAGAGGGGCGGAATGGGGAGTGGAAGGGGGAGTGGAAAAGGGAGTGGATGGGAGAGGGTTAGAAGAGAAAGGGTGGGAAGCTGGAGGAAATGGGGGATTGAGAGGAGTGATTGGTGTAGAGACCTTTGCTTCTGTTGCCGAATCCTTTAAAGTATAAGTAGCTGCAGCAGCAGCAGAATCAGCAGCAGCGGTGGCGACAGTGGTGGCTGTAACAGGGGCGGTGGTAACAGTGCCGATGGTAGCAGGGGCTGTGGTAACAGGCACAGCAATTATAGGAGCGGCGGAAATAGGAGCGGCAGAAGCAGGAGCGGTGGTAAGAGGAGCGGCGGTGGTGATTGTGGGTGCTGAGTCCAACAACGGAGGCAAGCCACTTGCTCTCACTGCTCGCTTCAGAACATGTGGTGCTCTTTCGCTCTCCACTTTCCCCGCCTCCTCCCGCTGCTCCCGCTGGGCAGAGGAGACGGGAAAGAAAGGGGACTCTGCGGTTCTGAGCGGTTCTGCAGGGTGCGGAGGGGTTGGGGACGGATGCATGCGCATGCGGTGCTGCACGTGGTCTTGAATGCGGTTCAGAGCGGTGCTGACTGGGTTCTGGTTTGTGAGAGAAGGAGGCGAGATAGGGTTGAGAAGAGCAGACATGAGCAGTTGGCGAGTGTGTGAGGGAAGGTAGGGGGGAGAGAAGGGGGACGAGGAAGTGGAAGGGTGTAGTGGGAGGAGAGAGTGGAGTGAGGGGAGGGATAGAGAAGCAGGAGCAGGAGGCGAAGGATAAGGATGGGAGGCCGTGGAGTGTTGCGGATGATGGGAATGGGGAGGATGGAGATGCTTTTGTCGCTGAAGTGACTTCTGCTGCTGCTGCTGCTGCTGCTGCTGCTGCTGCTGCTGGTGATGGTGGTGATACTGCTGCTGCGTGTTTGGCTGCTGTGGTTGTTGCATGAGAACGTCTATAGCAGCTTGCAGCGACGCTGCTGGCACGGATGCTGCTAGCTGCTTCACCAGGGCTGCTCTTGCTGCTACCGCTACCGCTGCCACTTCTTCGGATTCTGATCGCGCTGCTTCTGTTGCAGTGGCTGACACTGAACGTGCTCCTCCTGCTGCTGCTGCTACTCCTGCTTCTGATGTTGGCTCTGGCAATTCAGGAACACGAGCTGCTGCTGCTGCTGCTGCGGCCGATGCTGCTGCTGCTGCTTCCAGTGCAACAGCAGCTGCTGCGGTAGGATCTGACGGTTCACACACAGCTCGAGCACACGCTATGTTATCAGACAGTGTGATAGGCTGACACTGTCCCATATCCGCAGATGCAGCAGCACGCTCAGCAAACCCACCACCACCGCCAACACTACTACCAGCTGATGGATGGAGAACAGCTGCTTGAGCGCATGCCATGTTAGTAGTAGCAGACAGTGTGGTATGCTGATTTTGAGACGTCTCAAAACACGCTGCTTGAGCGCATGCCATGTTAGTAGCAGACAGTGTGGTATGCTGACGCTTACCCACACCTGCACATGCAGCAGCGCAGTCAGCAACAGCACCACTGCCAGCACCACCGGCAGTAGCGGCAGTAACAGCATCATCAGGAGCATCAGTAGGAGCAGAAACGGCAGCAGGAACAGGGACAGCAGGAGCAGGAGCAGCAGCGGCATCAGCATCAGCAGGAGCAGGAGCAGGAGCAGGAGCAGGAGCAGCAGCGGCATCAGCATCAGCAGGAGCAGGAGCAGCAGCGGCATCAGCATCAGCATCAGCAGGAGCAGCAGCGGCATCAGCATCAGCAGGAGCAGGAGCAGGAGTTGGGGAGGCAAGAAGCTCCCTCCTCACGAACTTCACCACACCTACCACCATTTCCCACGCATCAGCCGCTTTGGTAGTCCCTCCCCCCTCCTCCCCATTCACACTGCCGTCAGTAGCCGTCAGCTGCAAAAGCACTTGCTCTAAATCCACGGCCCCCCCATTCCCTTCTCCTCCCGCACCCCCTACATCTCCCCCACCCTCCTTACCCCCGTCACCCCCCTCACCCCCCTTCAGCCCCTCACCGGCCTTGCCCGCCGCCCTCCTGCTTACATCCGTGGGACGAAACGCCTCCCTAGCATCATTATCGTGACGATCAGCAGTGCCGTCGTCGGCACTCACTGCGTCGGCACCTCCAGGGGCACAGACAGTGCGGTTCTGCTCGGTGAAAGCTACAGTGAGAGGTCTGCTGCTGGGTGCACAGGCAGCAGCAGTACCAGCAGAACCAACAGTACCGCCAGCAGCGGCAGCAGTACCAGCAGAAAGAGCAGAACCAGGAGCTTTCACCGCTCTTGAGGCAGCGTCGTCGCCATCGGCAGCAGCAGCAGCACAAGGAGCAGCATCCGCGGGAATGACTTCACAGGATTGCTGAACGGTTCCTCCAGGTACCTTTTCAAGTTGAAAAGGTATCAGTAAAGTTCGACCGTTGGATTGCCACTCAGGTACACTCGCAGCCACAGGTACGGGCACAGGTACAGTCACAGGATCAGACACATCCTTACTTGAGTCCCTTTGCAAAGGGAGCACAAGGAAACTGGGGTGTCTCCTCGCTTTTCTCTCCTTACTTGAGGAAACGGAGCACCCCGGCGTCTCCTCCTCACACCCCTGCGCCGCCTGCGCCGCCTGCGCCCCCTGCGGCGGCCTCTCAGGCTCCCCCATCCCTCGCTTTGCCTCCGCCACCTCAGCTTGACCCACGCCGTGCTGTGTGCCATCTCGTGCTGCTGCGTCGAAGAACAATTGAGGAATCCCAGGATCCCCAAGAGCATCGTCTGTGCTGTCTCGTGCTTTGTTGTTGCCGGACAACGTTGTTATCAGATTCAGACCAGCAGGGCGTGCCGTGGTAGCAGGAGCTGGAGAGAGGTCAGGAGCAGGAGCGGAAGCGGAAGCGGGAGCAGGAGAGTAACCAGGAGCAGAAACATCAGAAGAGGCGACAGCAGGAGAATCTGCAGAGGCAACATCCATAGCAGCAGCACCGCCAGGAGTAGGGCCATTGCTGAAACTGTTTAACCTGGAGAGCGTACCATCCGCGCCGAACGCGGCGGGAGAAGGCAGCGCGGAAGGGGAGATTAAAGACGTCTGGGGGAGGTCCGCCAGGGAGAACGAGTAGAGCGACGGCTGACGTGTCAGCATGTGATAGGTCTCCAGCGACGCGGAGTCCACTCGCAGCAGCCACGGCATGAGCGGCGCAACCGACGGCGGCGAGGGTAAGGCGGAAGGATGCGCGGCGAACGCGGCGGAAGGCGCGGAAGGCGCGGGAGGCGCGGGTAAGGCGAGGGGCGGCGTCGCGGCAGCAGCGTCGGCGGTAATCACTCCCCGCCGCTCGGACTGCGGAGACTCGTTGGACGAGCGGAGAAAGCCTTCCGCCGTGGTACCGCATGCGGAGCGCCTGGATGTGGCGGAAGGGGGAGCCGTAGGGGAGAGATAAGGTGCTGCTGCCGCATATTGCACCACCTCTCGCGGAGGCACGACTATCGCCGGTGCTGCTGCTTCTGCGGCGTCTGCTGCATCCGCTGCGGCCGCAACTGCCGGCCCGCCAGGGAAAGCGGCGCGAAATTCAGCCGTAACGCGGCCTGCAGCGAGTGCTCCCCCCACTTCTTCCGCCGCTTCCGCCACGAGTGGGCCTGGTGGCGCATAACTTCTGGGGTTCGGCGCGCGGAAAGGCTGCAACGGCACGGCGGCTTGCTTTTTGAAATCGCCGCGCGCCGCGTCGATATGCCGCGGGGATCCCGCCATGACCAGCGTCGGCGCTCGTAGCAGCAGCTCGCGAGTGTTTCTAGAAAGAACGAGGAAGGGGCCCCACCATAGCACGACTATCAGTAGCCTACGATAGCACTAGTAGGGAAAGAATACCAGCAGTGCTACGTCTCAACTCGACAGTTACTATCCGGCTGCGACCTTGATGATTTCTGGTGTATTTTGAGTCGACTAACGAATTTCTTACAAGAGCGCCCTGCAGGTGGATTGTGACAAGTGAGTAGGTCGTTATGCGTCACTAACACGGAGCAGCTACTGGCGTCATCCGCTACACAGCTGGACTAAAAAGCAGGTAATGAAAATGGGAACGTTCAACCTATGTTGCCTTTCACAGCTGTCACTGGCTGTCTCAAGTTTCTTTGTCTCTGTCGAGTCGTCTTAGAAAAAGAAATTGGGTCTTATGACAAACATTGTGGTGGTGGTGGTGGAGGTGCTCATTAGCCGAAAATGGGAATGCGAGTGAGCGGTAGGGGTGAAACAAGTATTCACGATAGAGGACGAAGATTTTCTCATCTGGTTACATTAGCAAAAACATGGCAGCGAAGGCCCGCGAGGTATAATTATTTTTCGCACAGATCGTGCCTGCTTGTTTGCATGCAAGCGGAAGCGTGGCGCGCTTGCTGCATTCCCCCAAACTCACGCGACGCGGAGCGCGGTCAGCCCTACCCTGCCTTGGAGAAGTCGCCCCTGTATCTTTGCTAACTTTTTTCCCCTTCCCCTTAAAAATTGTTTGGCGTAAAGAGCTTCGCATCCAATCAAAAGATTTGCTGCCGCGCCGCCGTCGGAGAGTTGCTCCGCGCCGACGTTACCAACCACCACCCCCACTTCCGCAATCCACCAAACAATTTGACCGAACGTATGGGAGTGAAAACGGCCGTTATCTCCAATACTCAGATTTTGCCTGAGCGCATTCTCAGGTGTAATCAACCTGAAATTTCTCAACGTTGATTGGTCATCTCTTCATAGTCACATTTCTCACGCTGGTCGAACTCATTAGAAAGTGACAAAAAAAGGGCCATCTAGTTTACCCTCCCGAATTGGATATAAGTACGGAAATTTAGGTAGTAAGAGAATGAAGCCCATATAATTCACTTGGTAGTGCTCGGTAGCGCAAACGACCGTTAGACAACGCTACCGAAAGCACTAGACGACGCTACCGAGAACTATTCGGGCATGACAGAAAACAATGAAACCCCTAGGGAACCTGGATGCATTTTCGAGAGGGGTCAACCCTAAACACGGGAACGGGCATTGTTTTTAGGGTTGATGCCTCCAGAGTCGGATCCCTTTCCGATTGGGTTGTATTTTATTTTTTTTTTTGTCAAATGGGTTGCAATATGTTTTCTAAAATATTGGGCGGCTTTCGGTATTTAGTTGATCCTTCCCGGAAATCATCTAGGTTCACTACGGGTTTTATATTTTTTTTTTTAAGCGCTGAATTATTTCTTCTGAGTGAATGTATACAAACATGATACAGAAAGTCTCCCCACTATATCGCGAAACCGTGATTCTGTTGCTGATTACACCTGATAACGCGCTCAGGAAAAAATTGAGTACTAGAGATAATGGCCGGAGTGGAAACGTTTGACGTGCCCTCGCGAAATCGCAACTTCATCGCACAAGCTGTGTTCAGTGGTCCGCAATCGCAACATTCACGGTCAGGCAGGGCAGGGAGGGATGGCGGAGGTGCGCGACTCCCTGTTCGGACTGTACGAGAGTCATCACCGTCCGATGACAGCCGGCCATCTGTCACCGTCCAGCTGCCACCACAAGCTGCCAATCTATGAACACATTTTGGTCCTACGAGATATTGTGCACAGAACAGACGCTACACTTTATAGTTTGCTTCTATTCCTATACACCATAATTGAAAACGCTGGCACATCCACTTCCCGCCAACTCCAGCATAAGTCTCCGATTCAATCACTCTGCGTTTGGGAACCTTTTCCTACACGGCACCAGCATCGAGCCTGCCGCGAACGCAGCTTTTCGCAACTATCCCGCCTTAGACCCAGATCCTAGATTCTACGCCTAGTCGCGCCAGATCAACCGTCCTCAAACCTCTCCTCTCCGTCAAGCCGTATCAAACTCATCCACATCCCCTCCGCGGCTCTCCGTCGAACTCGCGGCTCGGATTCCCGCGGTACCGGGGGAGCCCGCGATGTACTCGCAGCACCACGGCGGCCCGGCCGGCGGCGGCGGCGGGAGCAGCAGCGGCAGGGGCGGAGGGGGCGGCGTGCTGGCGGGGTGGCGCAGCTGGTGGGTGACGCGGCGCTTCAAGGCATCCGTGCTGGATCCCACCCTCGCCATCTTCCGCGGGTGAGCGCGCGGGTGGGTGAGAGTGAGAGTGGAAGGGTTCGAGGGCTGCCATCAATTGGTCGAAAATAGGCCGAATCTCGATCGAATCTAGGTCGAATCTCGGTCGGATCTTGACTCGATGCGCCGACGGCTTTCCGTTGAGGTCTGGATCGAGTCTAACCGAGAGTCTACGTTGCGTCAGATTAAGTAGCCTCAGCAGGACTGCCGCGTCGATGCCCCCAGCGGCAGTTATGTAATTCTTTTCCCCACATCCACCCCATCTCCCGGCCCCAATTCCCGCCTTCCCACACACACACCATCCCCGTTCTCGCCTCCCCCACCTCCTCCTCCCCGCCCCCACCCCTGCTCTCTCTCCCTCCCCCCCCCCTCCCCTCCCCCACCCGCGCCTGCGCCGCCGAAATTTCCCTGCGCCATCAGGGGGGTTCCGCCGAAGCAGCTGGCGTTCTCGCTTGCGGCAGGCTTCACTGCTGGCCTCTTCCCCCTCTGTGGTGGGTGCAGTGCACCTCTCGCTGTTTTGACGCTTAAGCGACGACCCTCTCTCTCTCTCTCTCTCTCTCTCTCTCTCTCTCTCTCTCTCTCTCTCTCTCTCTCTCTCGCTCTCTCTCTCTCTCTCTCTCTCTCTCTCTCTCTCTCTCTCTCTCTCTCTCTCTCTCTCTCTCTCTCTCTCTTATCCGTCTTTTCATCACAGCACACCAGGTAGTCTCTGCATCTCTTTCTCTCACACACACACAAACACCACACACACTCGTTTTCCTTCTTTCTCGCTTCTTCCTCTCCCTTCCTCTAGGTGCACTTGGTGAGTAAGATCCTCGTCTCTGCGTATCACTCACCAAAGTCTTCACCTTTTGTTGCATGTTAGAAACTTCCCTCTCCTCCTTCCCCTCTCTCCGTCCAAGTCAACACCTTTGCACTCGCGCTCACGCTTTCGACGCACTCGCTCTTACACTCACTCCCCCTCTCACTCTCTTCCTCACCCTCACACTCCCCCTCACTCTCACACCCTCTGCCCCTACTCGCTTCGCCAGGTCTCACAGCAGTGCTGTGCACGGCAGTAGCATTCCTACTCAAAGCGTGTGGCGTGCCCGCCCATGCGCCATCCATGATGGCTGCGACCTTCCTTGCCACACCCTTTGAACTCAGGTACGAATGGCTCTTCCGAGTGGGGGGGATAGCAGCAGTGGTTGGTCGGGAATGACATGACAGTTTGTTACGATGACAGCTGTCGTGCTGACAAAATTGTGCTGAGCTGGGCAATTTTTTTCAATCATCCCGTTCCTGCCTGCCTCTCACCTTGAATCACATATCTCAGCACCCCTCCCCACAACTCCCCGCCTCTCCCCACCCCTCCCGACCCCTCCCCACCGCTCTTACCAGCCTCATCATCCCGTACATGCGGCTGGGCGAGTTTATATTCCAAGCGGACCGACTCTCTGTGTCGCCATCGGCGCTGGTCGGCGCACTCACAGGAAAATCCTCCTCTCGCTTGCTCATGGGGCTTGTGCATGCGGTGGGTTGCTCTTTGCCTCTGCTGCTGCTGCTGCTGCTACTGCTTCTTCCATGATTCCTTACCTTGGATGTATCACCCGAGTCTCGTAACTCTGTTTGTATCGTGCCATTCTACTCACTCATTTTCTTGCGTCTCCCATACACAGATACCCATTGCAATTCGTATTCCTGGATTCCCCCTTCAGTTGGAATCTCCTCCGTTTTCATCCCCCCTCTTTCTTCCAGGTGGTTGCATGGCTCATCACATCCCCCTTTCTCACGTGGATACTGTACCGCGTGCTGCTCCCACTCACCACGCGCATCAAGAGGCGAACGGGGGGTGTTGGAATAGGGAGCTCGTGGGAAGGCAGCGAGGGAGGATCGATCAGTATTGACTCGGGAAGGGGGTACACCGAAGCAAGTGCGTCTGGGCGAAGAGAATCGGGAGTGATGATGAGAAGGGCCTGATGTATGCTAGAAAGGCATGATGCCGGCGTTGCGGAAGCTAGTTTGTAGAAAGAGCAAGGCTGGAAGACTTGCATTGAATGGTTGAAACCAGAATGAGAATCATGGAATTGATTTATGTTCTGGAATGACAGAGCAGGGTATATATGTCAGCAGGTCACCCCATCAGGAGGGCCCTGTCCACACCAAAAATCTTACACCAATAATTTTACTCGCCAATAATTCTTACACTCCAATAATTCTAGACTCCAATAATTCTGGCCCTCCAATAATTGTCTTATAAAGGAACACTACAGTAAAATCTAACAGCATTTGTAATATCTTATGTTGGTGTATTTAACACTCCCCCTTGCTGTAGGTTTTACTGAGTTTTGTCTTGGAGGATACCTGTAACTGGCGTTGATTGCGGCAGGATTGATTGAATGGAGTTGATTGCGGAAGTAACTTCAGTTCCGGCGGGGATTGCGGCGGTTTGAGTTACGTTGACCGTTTCGTAGTCAGAAACTGCATTGGTGGGAAATTGTGATGGTCGGAAAGTTATATAGCAGTTGTGACGACGCGCAGGTGTACGTTCCTCCCAAGTTGGCGACCTGGCTTGTTTGTCGCGACACAAGTTCCTCCTTCCTAGGGTTTCTGATTCTCGTCCCCGCTTCTCGAACTCCCGTGCACTGTGTTGGAAACAATAAGTCCTAAGTGCGCTTCTGTCGTATCAAAATCCAAGGCACCAAGCGAAGCAGTCCCAATCGAAGCATCGAGTCAACCTCGGAGGTTAGGGTAACCCCCTGGAGGTTACGAGAAAGTCAAAGGTCGCTGACCTTTGACTCGACAATTACAGCGCGACAGTTAAGGACACACAACTGACTCGTTACAGAGCAGTTGCCCGAGTCGCACTATATCGAACCGCAACAGCAATACAGTTATCTATCTATCTATTCGTATTCCCTGTACTCTTATATAAATCCTTGTATTTGCTTGTTTAATTTAATCTACTTTGCTCTCACACACCAGTGCAAGGTCGGTTCACAATCCTCATTAAACGCTTCCGCTATTACAAGTTTCTACCCAAGAGTTCTCCTCTGCAAAGATCCTAAGGGCTATTTTTCAGCCCAACACACTGTACGCTCCCCTGTCAAGCTCTCCTTTCGGTTTGTCGCGTTTCACAGTTCCCGTTTCTCACACACCCTTCTCCAGCAGGGGTCTGGCTTGTCTCGTCATTTTCGATTCCCAGTCTTTTGTTTCATGCAGGACCTCCAGATCGATGGCTGCTGCTCAAGCTGCAATTTTCCACGATGAAATGACAGTTTAGGTCAGCCCGATTCCCAGCAGCAGGGCGGATTGCCTCCCTTGGTCTTAAAGCCCGCATGCAAAATAGTGACCCCCCCCTTCTAGTTGGGTCCACTTGATATACTGATTCAGAGGTTTTGTTTGTAGGGAGTAATGTGTTGCAGTTTTTCTTTTTTTCTAGATACTGAACCATCTTTTCGATTTTGATCGAGGAATCTGGTCGCAGGGTTGGGCAAATGTGTCGTAAGGGGTGCCAAAATCATGTTCATGGCACATTCACATTCGTGCCACATTCACATTCGTTCCACAATCAAATTCCCAGTTCTACGTCGTGGGAATTCCACATGCAGAGACAAACACTTGCATCGGTAGCGCCTGAGCCTTCTGCAAAAAGCGAGAGCTGTAGGAATGGGTTTGGGGGTGTGAATTATGCAGAGAAAAACAAACAGGAGAAGGTGATAAACAAAGTGAGTCAAGGAGTCGGAAGAGGAGAGTGAGAGGCCGGCGGAAACACGGACGCGAGGGGAGAGGGAGAGAACAAGGGGCCAAAGGTTACCGGTTGGGTGATGGGAGGGGCATTGGGGAGGGGAGGGCACGAGGGCGACGGTACGGGATGGGAGGTGCGAGCGCGAAGGCGACGGGACGGGACGGGAGAACACGAGGGCAACAGGAAGGGACGGGAGGTGCGAGCGAGAAGGCGATGAGAGACGAGAACGTGAGCACGAGGGAGATGGGAGGGGAGACCATGAGCGCGAAGGTGGTGCGAAGATGGGAGAACGTGAGCGGGATGGCGGGGGAAGGGGAGAACGTGAGCGCAATGGCGGGGGAAGGGGAGAACGTGAGCGCGATGGCGGGGGAAGGGGAGAACGTGAGCGCGATGGCGGGGGAAGGGGAGAACGTGAGCGCGATGGCGGGGGAAGGGGAAAACGTGAGCGCGATGGCGGGGGAAGGGGAGAACGTGAGCGCGATGGCGGGGGAAGGGGAGAACGTGAGCGCGATGGCAGGGGAAGGGGAGAACGTGAGCGCGATGGCGGGGGAAGGGGAGAACGTGAGCGCGATGGCGGGGGAAGGGGAGAACGTGAGCGCGATGGCGGGGGAAGGGGAGAACGTGAGCGCGATGGCGGGGGAAGGGGAGAACGTGAGCGCAATGGCGGGGGAAGGGGAGAACGTGAGCGCGATGGCGGGGGAAGGGGAGAACGTGAGCGCGATGGCGGGGGAAGGTGACAAGCACAAGCGCGGTGGCAGCTTGTGAAGGTTCTGCAAAGAGCGAGAGAGGTTAGGATTATTTGCTGCGTATGAAGACTTTGGGCCTGAGAGAGGGCGGCAAAATCGCTGAGAAAACCAAAAGGAGGGAAAAAACAGAGAGAAACAATGTGAGGGAAGAGGAGAGAGAGGGCGACAGAAACAATGAGGGCTACAGGACAAGAGCCCGGTTCGAGGGCGAGATGAGAGGGGAACACGAGGGCGACGGGATGGGAGTGGAGAGATGATAGGCAACGGGAGGGCGGCTCAGAGCGAGCGCAAAGGCGACGAAGTGGGTAATGGGAGGGGAGTGAAGAAGGGAGCCGCGAGGGCGTTTCAAGGCCAGCGGCAGGGCGATGGGCGAGGAGAGTCGACTGTGCGCAACAAGAGGGCATTGCGGGCTTAGGGCGACGACGATGATGTGGGTAATAGGAGGGGAGACGTGGGAGGCGACGAGAGTGCGCCTCGATTTCGAGGCGAGCGCATAGGCGACGAGGTGGGTGACGGGAGGGGAGAAAGGAAGGGCGACGAGAGGGCGTTTCAGGGTGAGCGAGAATGTAACGAAGTGGGTGATGGGAGGGGAAACGGGGAGGGTACGCGAAGTGCGACGGGTAAAGGGGGGGCGAAGGTAATGGCGAGGGAAAGGCGACATGGGCTGACGGCGATGCGGAGGTTGACGATTGTGCTACTGGCTGGAAAAATAGCACTTCGCTACTAGGCTACGTAATACTAAATCACCTATTCATGCGAATAAACGCAGTCGTCGATAATTCCGTGCCTATGACACAAGCACATATGCTTTCCGCTATACTATGCTTGTGGAAATAGACTACGGAGTAAGGGAGTAGAAATCAGGGAGTTATGAACCCAGGACCAGCTTGATATTGAAGTTGGCCTTGCGATGGAACACATCGCAAGGACGATGGAAACCATCGCCAGGGAACGGTCGTGCAAGTGCAGGTCGCAGAAATGTGAGCGGGAAAGTCCATTCTGGCGGGAGCGACAACATCCCATTTTGGCGAGAGCCAATCACATGAGCTCACTCTGCCCGCACGTTTTGTTTCAAGCAGTGTTTTTTCAGACTTGTTTCATTCTCTCTTCGCTTCAAAAAATATTGTCGCAACACCAGTTTCAAGTTGGGACGGGGGTCACTATTTTGCATGCGGGCTTTAAGATAGCTACTGCTGGCGAATATCTTCATGGCGCACGGCTTCTTTCTGGTTATGTGACCTATGACGCGCTGTTTTTTCCCGCCTTCTAGTGCTGACCCGATTTCCTTTGCTGTCGCGCGACTGCTGCTTAAGGCGCGACGATTTTCTGGTGTGCGTTGTGCTGCGCCATGGCGTGATGTCCTTCAGCTGCAGCCAGCGCGCATCACTAGCGCTCGCCATGTCATGGCTGGCGCCCGGTGACAGCAGCGCACGTGACGACCTGCAGCGCCGGATGCGCGTTTCCTGCAGCCGCGGCCACATCCGCGACTGCTGCTTCTGTCGCGCGGCTGTCGTGACCTCCTCGCTTGACAACCTGCGCGCTGCAGCTCCTTGCGCGCGACTGCTGTTCATGGCGCCCGTGGCGATCGGCAGCAGCGGCTGGCGCACGACTGCAGCAGCATGCGCGCCGCTGCATTACATCGCATGTGGCGGCTTCTGCTGGTGGCGCACGGCTGCTGCTCCTGGCGGCCCACTGCTGCTACTCCTGGCGGCCCACTGCTGCTACTCCTGGCAGCGCATGGCTTTCTCCATCCTGCCAAGGTGAGAATGCTTCGTTGAACCTGACTGTGAAACCCATGTTACATTTGCTCTCTGCTGCTCCCCATGACCCTGTGCTGCTCTCCGTGACTCTGTGCTGCTCCCCATGACCCTATGCTGCTCCCCCTATACTAGGTGACGCCCGGAGGCAGCTGCAACTGGTACGCAAGCACCTGGCGGCTGCTTCTACTCCTGGCGGATGCATCTGCTCCTGGCGGCTGCTTCTGTTGAACAAGAATGAATGAACTAACAGTGAAAATGAGTACAAGTATGCTAAAACTAGGAATGTGTACCCCCTATAGGCTAACCCATTGTAGCCTAAACAACTACAACAACATATATAATGTTTGACACACCCCCATAGGCGAAGTGGGGGAGAAATAGGGGTCACAAGACCAGTCAAGTAAAGCAAAGCAAAGCAAAGCAAGCTCAGGGTGGATCACAACGTCACCACACAATCCGAGCACAAGTGCAAGGCCACAAGGCCAGTTCACATGCAGGAGTACATATATATATATATAAGACTAAACAAGCAAGAGCAGTGATATATATATATATATGTAACAGTACAAAGAGATTCAAGAGGAGAGCAAGTGAGGCAAGACAGACACAAGACCCAGCTGGGTACAGCAGCGCTGATGATCACAAGGCGGAAGTGCCTTGGTGAAGACATCAGCAGTGTTGGCCTCAGAGGCCACGTACGCAAGCCGCAACTGACCACGCTGCTGT